TATATATATATATATATATATATATATATATATATATATATATATATGTTGAATATTATATGTTGGATATGTATGCTATATAAAACGATTATATATATATATATATAATTATATATATATACTTATATATATACTTATTTTATATTCATATACAATTTTATGTTCTATAGGAACAATCTGTGTTCATATATAAAGCATTATTAAGTACAATTTACAATATTTTAAATTCTAACATTTTATTCTTTTATGATAATTATTTTAAAGAAAAGGAATCATATATATATAAACAAATTTGAAATTCCTTAAAATTATCACGAGTCATCTTGCATAGATAAAAACTTGAAAGAAAAAGATAGATATTAATTATTAAATTATTAAAATATTTAACAGCATTAGGAACACAATGTCGTTTAATCGAGGAATAAAAAGAGATTCCTTCGGAAATCGAGGGAATTACAATCGAAGCAGTAGTGGAGGCAGCAGCGGCGGTGGCAACAGAGTCAGCAATAACATGGGTAACAGTGGCATGGGAAATAACATGAGTGGAGGAATGAGTGGGAGCGGAGGTATGGGTGGAATGAATCCCTGGGAGAGTGGTATGATGCCCGGTAGAGGTATTTTACCCACGCCTAATAATAATCTTTCCCTGGCATCGCCACAAACTCAGCTAGCGATTGCTAGCAATCTTCTTACCAATCTACTTCGCAGTCAGCAAGAAGTGCAACCACAGGTATGTGAATGTTTATTAACTTGAACTTGTATGCGTTCTGTACCTATTTCAATCTACAGTTACATGTTGCAATAGGTACCGTCTCTCATGAGCCTTGGAAATAATTATTCCGGTCCAGGACCGAATTATCCGAATCAACAAAACTATTCCCCCAGACGGTTCAGCGAGCGACCTGTGCGGCATCCTATGAAGAACCAACGTCCTCAGCCTTACAACAAGGTAAGCAACTTCACACGACACATAAGCAGACATTTCCAAGCAGACATAAGCTTAAACTACATCTTTTTAACACTTGCTTACGATCTTCCTCTGTATCGTAAACAGGAGTTGTAAAATGACAATCTTTAGTCCACGCTTCCTCGCGTGGTTACAGAACTGTCTTATAACTTCTGAACAAATTCCTCTTCTTGAGTCGATCGATAAAACAGGATACACCGCTCACTCGATTAGACAAGGCCTGCGAAATCACTAAGATATAAATAATTCTTATTGATAGATCAGCTTTGTCTGAAATGGCTTCTAGATATCGTTCGTATAAAATATTTCACTAAAAGAGCACTATTGAAAGACACGTGTTGATTTCAGAACGTAATTCTCAATTGATTACTGGAAGTTCACTGGAGGTTTTTGCAGGACCAAATTTGAAACTGATGTTACCTCGTTTTACAATCCAACAAGAGTCTTCTGTCTGACTAATACGATATTAAAGCCAATGTGGTTGCACTATATTCAAAACTACTACCACTTTTTATATACACGTTGCATATTTCACTTGATTTAGCTTCTTCTTCACGTTCATTAATCACTGAGTTTTTCTCAAGCATTTTTAGTGGCAAAAATTATATCTACTTTTTATAACTATGATCTTATGATCGTTATAATCGTGCTACATGTACACGATGTATCCTCGACTCGAAATCGGGATACTCTGCAATGTTTACCCCTTCCCCCGCCATACTTGGTATGGAAATGGAAGAGAGAGCTTCGGTGTTCTACCGGCTCCATCCTACTTCCATTTATCGATTATAGAACTGCTCTCTCCCTCAAATTTCCAAAGTGGTCTAGAACCAGTGTCTCAATTTGAGAAGAATCAAAGTTATGTCAGATACTTCTCATGATGCTTTTTGGTCACTTGACCTCTACTGCGTGACTAGATGGGCAATCGAGCCCGAGAAGGCCCCGCTGGGCGACGTGGCCCATCCGCACAACAATCTCGTGCACCCCAGTCTGGCAGTCAACGTATGAACGGAAACCAAATGCAACATCGCAACGATAAATCTTCTAAACCAATTCCTGCCTCTAAACAAAATCAGACTGCCAAAAAGGAACAGCAGGATGTTAAGACCTCTGATAGTGAAAAAGCAGAACCGCCTGTTCCGAAAAGGTAAGCTCCTGATTACCTGTGATTGGTATAGTTTCTTCAAATTTCAGTAAGTCTCAATCTCTCCGGACTATTTGCCTATATATACTTATGTTTCTTAATGTAGTTATACATATAATATGAGTCAGAAATTTCTCACTTATATATATATATATGCATATCTTTCTTTTTATACGTTTATCCGATGTACCGTTGATGCGATTCAACTTATATTTCATGCCCAGAAATTACCAGACATTGGCCATGGGTGCTAAAATTTTGCTGTTGTTTTTCGTAACTTCTTCTCCGTGTATATTCATCAAAATGCATTTTGACAGATATTGTTTCGGTGAGAACATATTGTCTACATTCCAATAAGATGTATAAATTACATCTTTCTATATGCTTCTTTATAAGCATCGATCTAAATTTCTTTTTTATCATTGACTTTTTATATACATAAACACTAATAAATTACCTAGCTGCATAATATAAATTTGTATTCAAAATTAAGAATTTTATAGCGAGTTATAGTGTAACGCGGTCCATTATTGAAATCGGTTACAAAATTTCTCCTGTGGAATGTAAAAAGTTTTATTTCAAAGCATGTCATTTATGATAAACAGCGATGGAGCGGACGAGTCTGAGGACAAGAAGCGCGATAGGAAGGATGAGAAGAAGGAGACAGAAGAAGTAATTGCAAAAACAGAAAGTATAAAAGCAGAAGATACTGAGAAAAAAGTGGAAAAGTCTGCGGAAGATTCCGCATCAAAGGAAGCAAAAGAATCTGGCAAAAACGAGAAGGAAAATGCGAAAGCGACCGGCAAGAAATCGGAAGCTAGACACGCCGAGAGTCGTTACGCCGAAGTCCCGATGAATCACATGTTTTGTCACATTTGCAACAAGCATATGTGGGACGGATTTGTACGTATTATCGATACAGTTTTAATTGATGTATGTAACTATTCGTCGATAACTAATTATTATATTTTTCTCTCAGTCTTTTGAGAATCATTTACGCGGACGTGCGCATCAGCTGATGATGGAAAAGTTGGACGAATCGTACAAATTAAAGGTCGATTTGATGAGGCATGAGTTGCGAGTTGCTGAAGAACAGCGCGAACTTAGCTTGAACAACTCGAAGCGACGCGGCAAAAAAGTAAGTCACATTTTCGATAAGATTGAATAAAGATATTAGGACAGATAATAATAAATGGCCAAATGATATTTGTGATTTCTCAATTGCAGGTTTCTGTAGATTTAAGTACGAGAGAATACTGTACAATGTGTGATTTGAACTTTTATGGAACTTTGTCCACGCATAGAAAGAGCGAGAAGCATCAACAACTGAAAACATTTTTGCATCCCCGATGCTTTCCCTGTTTAAAGGAGTTCCCATCTCGCATAGAATATGATGAGCACTGCTTAACACCCGCTCACATGAAGAATGCTGTTCAGTGCGAGGAACAACGGAAAAATAAGAAGAAAGGTAATGAAAGAAAGGAGTTGATTTATTTTCGAATCAATTTTGAAGAGAATTTTTAATTGATCAAATATTTTTTACAGAAAAACTGGCAAAGGGAGAAGCTGAAGTTCGTACTGCAGAAGATGAGGAGAAAGATGTTTGCCATGATGTAAAGAACGAAAAAGAAGAGGATTCAGGAGAACAAGAGTATATTATAGATATTACAGAAAATATAAATGAGAAAAAATTCAAACTACCGTCTTACAAGTATTGTCGCCAGAATCAAGTCTTGATTGGTATGGCTTTATACTGAAAAAATTATAAATTGATATGAGCTATTCGTGCGTCTTTTGTATATGTGTGTGTGTGTGTATATATATTATTTTTATCAAACTTATTTAGGTAAATCTATGGTCAAAGAGGCTCAAGGATTTTATTGCGAGCGTTGTCGACGATTTATGTTATTGGCTGAAGATATGAACGCTCATTTGCGCAGCATCACTCACTATCGAAACTTTGTAGCGGAAGTGAAATCATTGACAACAAGTGCAGCAGCTCCAGAATCGAAGGAAACTGTTTCAACTGACGTAAGTAATGCTGTTTTATAATAATAATAATAATAATAATAATAATAGGAGTGGAAGGAAGGGAGGGAGGGAAAGAAACCATGAAGGAGCTTCAGTTTCATAATTATTAAAATTGTATTGTGTTCATAGAATGAAAAAAATGATAGCGAAATTCAGGATAATTCAGATGGAAATTGGAAACGTCGTAAGATCAGTAATGACGATGATGAGAGTGATGACAAGCTAAACGATACGCTAGATAGTGATAGCATGAATGTGACACTGAAGAAGTCGGATGGTGAGGAGAAGTACGATCCGTTGGAAGCCGACGCTGCCGAATCGGAGGAAGATGATAATCGCGAAGTGGAGGAAGAAGCGAAGGAAACTACGACGGGAAATGCTAACGCGCAGGACTCTAAAAAGACAGCGGTGGACGAAGCATGGGCAGACATAACTAACGATGTAGACGTTGAAATGGGTAATCTGATTGACGATGCGGACGAAAAGGAGCATGCCGATCATGAAAAACCCGTGCAGAAAGTAGAGCGAAATCATAGTCCTCAAGTGAAGCCGGCCTCTCGCGGCCGTGGATACGCGCGCATTCGCGGTGGTCCACGTGCCAGGAGAGCTCGGCGATAAAGTAAAGTGACGCCATGATTTACGGAAGTACGAAAATAAATATGCGAGAAAAATGTGTTGCAGGAAGATTTCAATCATATGTTTCATGTTTAAATAACTTTCACTGATACAAATAAAACACATTATCGAAATATATTCGGAAATAAATACACTTTACGTTTATGAACATGTAATAGGTGTGAGCATGTAATAGCGTAAAGGTATCAATCTATAAAGTTATTAATCTATAAGCGACCTATTTTGCTAGCATCGCACACCGGAGGAGAAAATATGTAGACAAGAAATGTTGGAATTTTTGTACCAGTATGGACTTATAATCACACATTGCTATTTTTTTTATGGGGAAACTCATTGATATATAAACGGCGCTAACTTGTGAAGAAAATTATTGGGTATTTTATGTAATTATGAATATAATTAGGCAGAAACAATTGTGGCAATGATACCAAAAAAATGACAGTTCTTCTTTTAATGTAAGTGAAGACAATGATGTCATTGATATTGAAATCTAAGCATACAATAATATACGTTATCATGTACTGGATGTCAAATGCAATAATTGTCATTTTATTCTTTTCTCACAATCCTATAAATATATATTCTCACAATTACCATTCTTTAATATAATGAAGCATTATCAATATAAATATTATCGTATATCTCTATTAATAAATTATTGAATAGCATTTGAATTTTTTAAATTATACAAATATACAAAATTTATAAACGTTTACGTCGTGATAGAAGTGATTAATCGATGTTCTTATAAAATCATTCTACAATCATTCGAGATTATAGAGATATAAGATTACTGAATTTATCATTTTTTTCACTATAAAATCTGTAAATTAAAAAAAATGAAAATAATATTGAAAAGAAGAAGGCATACATTACAGTTTTATACTTTACTTTAATCTATGTGATACTTTTGATAATACAAAATATTTTTTTTCTCTGTACAAAGAAAACAATTGAATAAGGCATTTTTGTAAGGATTATGTTAGAAGCCTTTTAAAAATTTGAAGTGCAAGATTGGTATATTAAAAAATACGTATAACAAAGTAATAATTAAGATATCAGGCAATATGAACACATGTGACATTATGAAATAAGAAATGATCTTATATGTATGTAGATGGATAGTACATTAAGAAATCAATAGAAATGATTATGTATTAATGCAATATATTTCCTAATTTTATTAATCCTTAGAAAGATGAGTCGACAAAAATTCATCTACAGAGTCTGTATCCCACTTGTGTATATCAAGTACATCTTCAACTCTATTTTCGGCATCATATAGTTTAATAATTGGATCCAAACCTCTTACGTATTTTATGCTGAGGTTCTTGTATTTCTTTGGTCGATCACTTTTAATAAAAGCTAAAAGAAATTTATTACTCAGAAATTTACATTGAATTTTGCATTATATACCAAGTAGTTCTCAAATTGTCAAAAGTCATTTATCAAACCATATGGATACCTTGTATTTGCGGATATTGTCCAAATTTGCATGTACAAACTTCGAGAACAGCTTTAGGATATCGTCTTGATCCAGACAAATCATAATCATCTTTTAGACAACATTCTTTACATGAACTCCTAGTAAAATAAAAAATTTATATGATACATTTGTGTTTCAGATAGTTTAAATAAAAACATTCAATGAAATAAATTTTACATATTTTTTACATACAAAATTTTGGCTAAACTGGGTTCAGTAAAGTGTTCACAGGTCGAACAAAGTAAGTTGGCTTTGTTAAAGCCTAACACTTTACAATCATCTGCTGAAAATTCTGCAATGACAATATCCACCTGTAAAGTGTAACATTAATGTTATTATAACTTTATAATAAGAATTATGATAAACAATTTTATCTCTAGGCTTATTTATCACATTTATACAATTGCATTGCAATTTTTAAATCCATAAAATGTAGTTATTTTGAAACAAAATTCAGATGAAACTTATTCTGTCTATAGAGGTTATAATTTTTGTTACTTACCACAGCAATGAACGAGAATAGAACCGTATATAGTGAATAATTCATTCTGTGTCTCCGTGTGTTTAATTGTAGAAAAAATTAGTCAAATTAAGAACTACCAAGTATAAAATTGAATTGCACAGTACACATCGACGTATACACGTACGGAAAGGTTATGAGAACGTTGTTTTGTCGCATGTACCGAGGAACAGCTAGGTGCAGTACTTTAGACAAGGATGTATGTATACATATAATCAAATAGAAAGAAGGAAATAACGAATTGCTATTAAACATTCAATATATCGAATAAAATACGATTGCTCATTAAACTTATATCTTTTATCGTAAAATTAAAAAAATTTTGTTTTAAAGAGACGAAGGGAAGAAATAGAGCAAGATGAGTATATCAAAATATGTTTAATACAAAATAACAATGTCAGCGAAAAACATAACTTGCGAATAAATAAGACTTTTATTTTATATACAATAGATTCGCCGATGTGATTTTTATTCTTGCTATTCAATGTTATTTATATATTTGTTTTAAAAAAATGTATAATCAAGGCAGTATTCTTATCAATATTTTTTTGTTTATACCTCTATCGATATTATCACTAATAGTTTGTAATTGCTGAGTCTGAAAACGACTTCATCCAATATTTTTTTGTTAATCTACTTTGATAATGAACTGTATAATACATTATGCTAACAAGTAAAATAATCGACGGTAATCAATGTGTATTTTGGACTAGGTCGCAGATTAATCGAAATATTAAGAACACTGAAAGCATTCGCAAACTTTTGGCTTTTGTAAATTTGTTTTTGTACAATTTAATTATTTGCTTCACTGCAGAAATATAGAAGATTATGGTATCCGAAGCCATAACCCACATTTAACATTCTTTGAAAATGTGTCGAATTATGAATATAATTAAGAATATTTAAATATGGGATATAAACTGTTGATATGTATAAGCGGAATAACTGCACGTGGGAATGCAGTTGACGAACTAATTTAATTGCTTGTTAACTAATTGGAAAGAAGACATTAACCTGCGTGGATTACAATATTTGTATATATTTACATATGTTACACAACATCCGTTATTGGAAAGAATTCAAAGCGGGAATTGAATGGTATTCTCTTGATAACAGAATCCTTAAAGATCATTAGGGAGCATTAAGAAAATATATTGTCATAAGAAATTCCATCTGCTTATTATACTTAAAATTATAATTAAAATTTCAAGAGTAATTACTGTGTCAGCTTTATAAAACTCCGAAACTCAATTCTTGAAACTTTAATTAGCAGATGGTATACACCGAGCATTGGAAATTAACGTCTAATAGTTTCACAGCTCAAAATTCCAGTCTGGCTTTATAATGTTGTTAGGTAGAAAAATTAAAAATCAATTTTGTGCATAATACAAAAGATTTTGAAGATTAAAAAAACAATTTTGCAGAATAAATTAATTTTTCAATTTATATTGTCCCTAATTCTTTCCAAAAAAATGGATACTTCTTAATACACTTTTATTTATTTTTTAGAGTCTTGTTCGACTTTTTGAAGGACTTGTATGTGAAATTCTATGAGAACGACTGCGATAGTTTCGACAAATATAATCGTCGTGTCGTCAACGGCGAAATTCGGTTTCTGGATGCGACGACGCCGTGAGTATTTTTATAATTTATCATCACAAGTTGAGTCACACAACTGCTTCCGCTTCCTCGTTTTAACCCAATCCTAAGACGTACTTTGGTAGGTTGTACGCAAACCTGGGAATGGCCATCACTACGGACATTCTGCAAATCCGAAAAATTTTTATCATAATAACGTCTCTTTTTGAATATTTTTATCTTAGCTGCCAAGTTTTACAGAGACGAGGAATATCATTCTTCAATAACGAACATTAAAGCATCAAATTAAAAAAATTTGTAATTATTTCCAAATTTTTAGCAATTATATTGCAAAAGTTGCGCCATCAATATAAATTAAAAAAATTTTATATTTTAAATGCTATATGCATGATAATTGTAGTGCAGATAAAAATAAGTTATTGCGCATTACATAAGCAATTAGCGTATATTGCATGAAACGCTCAATAAACATAACATCTCAGACAAGCTCAAATATTTAACACTATGACTTGGCAACTAAAACATCATTTGCACCAGCTGCATAAAACAGTATTTTATTAATATTAATGCCATAGTTTTTACCAACATCTGTATCATTAGTTTGTTCAATATTAATCAGTTTATATTAATTAATTAATTTGAAGTTATCGAGAGACAGTCTCTATTTATCAAAATTCTTGATATAAAATACAATGTAACAATATCAAGAGACATGGTAGTGTCTCGCGCCAAGTTCATCTATATTACTGAAATTAGTAAAATCTTTTTATACGTAAAAATAATTCGTCCAATTTTTAATTCAATGCTGAATCATTCATAAATTCAAAAGATTATGCAGCTGGTTCAATTGCGTTTCCATTCAATAATATTTACAAATGCACTTGTGTTACTTACTATAATGTGCAGTATACGAAGATATAGAAATGTCACCCACCGCCTGTTATATTCCGCCACCAAAATAAGATTATTGATTCTATCTTTCAATATGTACAAATTACTTGCTACTTCCAGCAAGATAAAGCCGATTCTTTCGGTGCGTTTATCGGACTAACGTGCCTAAAAGAAGCTTTTTGTGCGTTGCAAAAGTGGCAACAATGTGTGCAATTGCTCGCTATAATTGTTTTACATCGTTTTTGCGTGATGCTGAAATTAATTCATATAGTTAACAAGGATTTGCAGAGTGAATAGTTGATCAGTGGACGGAATTCCAACACCATTTCGTGTCGTTTGTTTTATTGGAAAAATTTCTATATTAAGAGAGAACATATTTAGAGTGATACATATTAACAAGGCACGTGATAAAAATTACGTAATTTTTAATAATATACAATTTTTATTTTAACATGAACCACACTCGAAGGAGCCTACACAAAAACGCGGCACCCTTGAATTACGATACGACTTGTTTCGCGAAGAAACCTCTGAAACACATGAAGAATCGGAGAGTCTTTCATTATTGCGCTTCACCGTTGAAGAAATTAGTATTCTCAATCTTTCATGCAGGTATTATGCGATGATTCGCGCATTTAATCGATTACAAAAAGCTCATTCGAGTGCAATATACTCACACACATACATGCATTCTAAATGAAGCGATATTAATAGATGCCTCTGTGCTATTAAATGCAGTTGATCGACACTTGCTTCATAAGCTTTCGGAGCTACTGGATCTAAAGTAAACTTATGGTTTCTTAAATATATTATTGAACATGTTTTGTGATTTTAAAACCGAATGTGTATGCAGATTCTTATGTTTTATATTAAAATAATAAAACCGAATAAAAAGTAAAACTTGAAAGTATATTTTTATAACACAGTATAAGTTTTATACTGTGATAGTTTAAAAAAAAAGAAAGAGAGAAAAGAAAAAGATTCGCATCAATATCTTGTTAATATACCAATTAATCGGTCTGTGTACCAAGTTACGATCAAATTATTATTACTGATTTATATACATTATTAATGCTTTTCTATCAATCTTTTGTTCACAATCGCAATCAAGCTTGGTTACATGTGTTATTACATATAGCAATTAAATCTTAAGTGACTGTTATTAAAAAAATTTGTAATTTTTATTTTGTTAGAATCTACACATTATGTAATTTTAGTTTCTCTAACTTCTCAATATCATTTTATTGAAAGTTATTAAAAATACGAAGCTAGTAACAACTAACGTATAAAAAAAATTAAAAAAATCAGATTTGTCAATTATAAATATACTTGCTATTAGTTCATTTAAGATGTAAGAATTCTTTCTACAAACAAGGCTGAATCAGAATTCAGGGACAGTTAATCACATATCACAGCGTGTATCAAATTGCAACTATTTATCTGGAACAATCGATTCTTTAACTTCGTTAGTTTCAGTATTGCCGGAGTAAAGTTCGAACCACCAGTCCTTTACGTACGATAATGCAAGTCCTTTGTAAATCCATGCTCGCCATCCCGTTCTCGTTTCTACATCAATTCTCGCTTCTAAACTCTGGCACAGTGCTTTGCGATCGTGGCTTCTTCCGCTGCGTAGATCGCACAGCAATCTCTTGCGACACTCGTCATTGCATGCCGGTCGTACCGGAGAATTCTTATAGTAGTGTCTGCCAAAATCAATAGAAGACATGTCATATTGCTTACGAGAGGATATCGAAATATGATGCGAATAGAATTACTTGTAGTAGAGATCGAAGAGAGCTGGCTCGTTGGCCATCTTGTCGATCAAGGAGTCCCAATCCTTCGGCAAGAGCGACGTCATTTGGTAGGCTTGTCGCGCGCTGTACAGTTTATGCCAGATTGGGTAATCGTAAAGGTTCGCCTCTTTGAGATTCATGACCCAGCTCTCGTGATCGACGACCATCTAAAATACACGTTTAGTTAGGAAACAATAGACAATCAAAATGAAAGGCTGTTGCAACATAAATATTATCTAATGTCTTATCAGACCAGTCACTTACTCTTGTCGTCTTCGCGTGGTCACCATCGACGTAGTATATGCGATAGCCCGGATTGAGATCATAGTAAGGCGAGACCGAAGGACCGACGTAGGCGATGCTGAGCGCTCTGCCAAGGTCTGATGTATCATAAAATATCTGGAACTCGTCGTAATGCGTGTGTCCGAAGAACTGGGCCGTGATCGTTGATTCATATCTAAAGAAAAACAGAAGGTGATTTCCGTTCGCCACGGTGCGCCAGCAAGTGATCTCAAACGATCAAGTACCAACCGATTAATGATGTGGTAGTAGTTCCTCGACCACACCTTAAGACAATCCGAGTGTCCGGGAGGAATATGGCCGATTATGTGCACCTTCTCGCCGCTTATCTCGGCACCCTGCAGCTCGTACACGAGCCACTGCAGCTCGCTAACCGGATCCGTGCTGTTCAACAGCAACCACCAGTTTTTGTTGTTACAGTAATTCATGTTGACCGAGAGTATTCTGAAACCTGGCCGAACCAAGACCGAATAGAAGGCGCCGCGACGAACGGTGTGCGACACACCGGCTGGCAACCAACGCCGCCAGTGCTTATCCAGATCGTCATACAGCCAGGAAATGCTGTTTTCTTCAGGCACGAAAGGTGGCGGAAAACTAAAAAAAAAATAAAAAAATAAAAAAAATAGATATCGCAATCACGAATAATTAGTCATCGTAAACAAAATTTCATTCTAAAAATATCGAAAATGGGTTTTTTATGCGCAATGATTTTTATTCCCCGAAAAATAAGATTTTTGAGGCAATTGTTCTGAAATTATTAGTTTAAAAATTCTAAAATTGCTAATTTAATTGTCGGTTGGGAAGTAATTGATAATGGCTGAATTATCGCTGCTCTTTCCCGCCTCTTTCTTCCGTCCTACTTTCGCATATTATTCCTTTTTAAGACAATGACACATATATTAGCGATGTGTGATAATAAAATAAAATTTTCTGAGGAAAAACGATTTTCGAATTTTGCGCAAGATGGATATTTTGCAGATTGACCGCATAAGGAATAATATTTTCTAGAAAAGTGAAAGTGGCGGTATCGAGATGAAATGCGAGGTGAGCGTGCGCAATATAGCGGATGTACCTGTTGACCGGCGCGCTTTCGTGATTCCCCAAGGCCGGAAATATCGGTATGCCGGGGAACATCTCCACCATCTGCGTGACCGTGTCACGCAACACTTTTAGATTTTCTTCACGTGTTTGATTCCATACGTCATGAGGCGGCAAATCGCCCGTCCACAAAATATAATCAATGTCCTGCAAATTTTTTTATATGATAAAGAGTTTTCCTCTTCTCAGTCATGATTTTGATCTTTTTGCAGGCGCAATGAACATGCACTGATTATAATAGAAGAATCAATAGGACTTTTCTCTTATATGCAACAAATTATTAACAAATCAACTTGTAAAGCGAGAATATCGTTTATCGTGATCAATAAATCAATTATTTCCCATTATGTACAGCTGAAACGCACTGCTGAAAATTCTGTTCGAGTGATCAACGAGAGGTTTGCTTCAGAATAATAAATATTTCATCATGATCTCTCCTACTTATGAGTGACAATGAATTAATCGCTCGGACGTGCTGCTTACCGAATGTGTGTCGGCGATGTGCTTGAGCATGTGGTCGATCGTGCGTTTAGGCGTGTCACACTTGCGGTAATCTCCCCATCGTCCGGCTCCGGCCGAGGCGGTCAACGGGGCACCGTTCGTCAGCCGGCAGCAAAGCGGCTCATTACACTCGGCGTTTGCGCCCTCTTGATAGTATGGGTCGTAGTGCGTGTCGGAGATGTGCAGGACCTTGAAGGTCGGCGCAGCTTCCTGCGGCGGTATTGGCGGCTTGATCGGAGGTTTCTTGACCGGCGGGAAGGCCACCTCCCACTCGTGCAGCGGATTAAACGCGTCGTCGCACGCGTCGCCGATCACGAAGCTGCAGATCTGCGCTGGACCCATGTTTACCTTCTTCAGCACGTAAATTACTTCTCCCTGCGACATAAATTCAAACGACGTTAGTCTAATGACGTGCATGAAAAAGGGACGATTTTTAATTAATCTTATCGGTTGTAATGTCAATAGAAGAAAGCCGCAAATCTTGCTGTTTTGCTATAATCAATTTGGAAAAGTAACATCTTTTCTGAGTGCTACAGAAAAGTAATATCTGTAACAAATGAATGACAAATTATAACTTCATAATTTTCGTCAATTATAAAAAAACATCTTTTTTTTTTCATTAATTGACGAAAGTAAAATTTACCCCGAAGAGCAAAGTGACTCCGTGACAAACGCGGGCGCTTTGTATGTTGAGCGATACGCAGAACTGGTATATACTGGCCATGATCTCCTCGTCGCTCTTGCCGGCCTTTATGTAATGCTGCAGCAAGCCAGCACCGACTTTGCAAGCGGTGCACGAGACCTTGGACATCACGGAGGTCTCCACTTCCATCATCACCTGCCGCAGGTCCAGCAGCTTAAGAGCTTTGTCCACGAATCCGGACAGATGGCCAGTCGGCTGGACTGTTTCCATGTCCCACAGCATCCGCGAGTAATTTAACTGCAATTTAACGCCATCGTAAATTTATATAGCATCTTAAATAAAATAATCGATAACTAATCAAATTAATAGTTATCATTTTATGATAGATTTATCATAAAAAAAAATAAAGCGATGATTTGTACCTTTAATCATCCAAATTGACTTCATTTTACGCACCTTTTTATCAAATATCTTTCTTAATACTGTAAAAAAAAAACATTTTCATATTGTAAAGATAACAATAGTCGTCGATGTACATAGTTCGTTACGCAATTTTGAGATTCGAATCTATTCAAATATTTCAAACTTTTCTTCGTAATTAGTTTGACACTGCGAGGTAAAAATCAGTCAGTGGACGAGTTTTGCGTATCGTAATGTATTATTAAGAGAAATAAATCTTCTTCGCGTCGCTTTCTGCGCGCTTTTGCCCGCGCAACTTTCCTTCTTCGAGATCGCAATCCCGATCGAACGCACGCCTTTTCCGAGGTATCGAAGCGCGCGGATGTGTCCGGATCAGCGATTTCTTTTACGCAAGCGATGACGAATGGGTATCGATGATCGGCGCGCGACTTTCGCGGACGAAAGTCATTGACACCGTGTTATGCGCGGTACATGTGTAAACACACGAATAGGAAGAATAGATGGTACTTGTATTCGCCACGGTTGCCCGCCGGCTCGGTCACCTTGGTGAAAGTATTTTGGCACTGAAAGTGAGAGTCGCGGCGACATCGTCGAGTCAGACGGGAAAGAGAAGCAGGATAAAGAAAAAAGGCGAGGCCGGGAGCATACGAAAAAATACTGACGATCCCGGATTTTGCGGTATGAGCTGCGATCTTGTGAGATTAGAAACTTTGTATATCTGTAGCAATATACTTGAAAATATCTGAGAGATCGACCCATGTAACTGTTTCATCCGCCTCTGTAATGTTGCACTTTCGATAGAAAAAACGTCATTTCATTCAAAGCTGTTAGAAAAAGATGTCTAACTATAATAATTGATCTTTAACCGGAAAAGTGATGTAAAGTATCTTTTCTAGACATCATAAAATAATGATAACTCGATAAAAAATATAAGTTGACAATAATAGTTATCTTATTAATTTTAATTTTCTTAATCATTAAAAATATGTATTTTTTAATAATAAACTTTATAATATTGTTTTATCAATCAATCTAATAATTTCTTGATTTTCAGTGATTTTTCGAGTATTAATTACACTTCGTTGGTAATCAATTATTAATTATGTAGTTGATGAATGCTTGTTTAACTTTACATATTAAAAAGAAATGCACAGCATGACAGATTGATACGCGAAGTATCAATTATTTCTTTTTCTTTATGTATCGATTACATCAGAACTGTCTAGTCGATGTAACACGATTAAAAAATTCCAAGATACCAGCTTAAGGAAAAGGCAATGACTAAAAATTACAATTAAGTCTTAATTTTGGACTAATTTTCCGCTCCTTATAATAAAACAGTGCGGAAAAAAATGTTTCGATGGTCTTTTTTTCACTTCACGATCGCCGATTGTACTGATTTATTCGTGAGACTTTATAGCCCTATAAAATAATACAGGTTTCTATTTATAGAAAGACTCAAACCGATGTGACGCGATGGCAAACGCTACTTTTCCCATTAATCGAGTGTGTCAAGTGTGTTCTCAACGGTCTGATTGCGCTCGGGCACGATGTGTGTAACCACTGTCACGCGAAGTGGAAACATCGAATGATATGTTTATCGTTCATATCGCTAGCGAAACTTATGCAATGTCTGTGGTGATGTATAAAGCTTTACTGGCTATCATCAGACTGCCTCAGTCTGTGATTCATTAATTAATTTAATCAACGTTTAATTTTCATTCCTGATTAAAGAGGGGAAAAAAAATAATTTTTGTTTGGCAATCCTGCTGCGGCCTTTGATCCTCTTATTCCATAACTGTTAATTTTACGCTGGGCCTAGATTGATTCTATTAATAATTTAATCAAGTTTTGCTTAATAAAAATGTCGATATTTTGAGAATTGTAAAAATGATGAGGAAAGAGCACAATTTTCATCGTATCTATCGTATATGCTTATAATAATTAAAGATTTTTTTATATAAAATCACGATTTAAATTGTAGACAATAAAATGTTTAAATACCAAAGATGAGTCTTAAAATTATCTCAACAAAATAATCAATCTTTTACATTTTCCAAGGGTTTGCGATTTAAGATGCTTGCAATATGCAAGCTTTGACATATTATTGGCGTAAGGTTTTACGTTGATTTCCACGTAGAAAAAAAGAATGGACAATTTCTCGCGACACTTGTACTGTTCGCCAGAGAAAGTTTGCGATTGATAACGAAAGATCTTATACAATCGACGGTGACAGTGCAGATTTCTGGTTCAAGTGTAAATACAACTTTGTTCGCATCCCTCGTTCGGGGAACACGAACAAAAGGGATCGTCTTACCCGTGCCATTTGTTCCGCACTTGTGCCGTTAACGATGAAAGTCTCCGCCGTTGGCGGCAATTTCCGGAATTTGTCGTTGAACGGCAGCAGAGCGATGTCCATTCGATCGTTGGCCCTGGCCTTCGCCTTCGTGACCCATTCGTCGGCCAACGCGGTCCAGTTGGTCGACGCTATCTCTGCTTCTCGTTTCGTTTTGTGCCAGATGGGATTTCCTGCGGAAAAAAATATTATCTAATTAAACAACACCCAATTAAAAGCGAGGTTTTTCTGTCGACTTGACTCGTGGCCGAAAATATAAAAAGTCTTGTTTTTGACGAATTTGCGTTCAACGGATTGCACAACTCGAGTATAGCGAAATTTCCGCTATTTCTGTAAATCGCGGAAAACACCCATCACGCAAAAACGCTTTTAACTGACGGGAAGCAACGATTGCGCGAGTCACGCCAAAGGCGAGCTTTGTGACGCGAATAATTGCAAATTCGCCTAAACCACGACTCGAGATCGGTATCTTTTCTCGTAATTAATATCGCGTACAGCATTGTATAACTTCAGATTTTATATATAATTATTTTATACATATTCTATATTATATTACTAATATAAATATGACGTTTAATTTAATTAAATAAAAAGCCAACGGCCAGTGTTAGGCGTTCGTGCGTACATAGAAAAATGTTTACAATAACATTGATGTTTCGACTCATATTAGGACTTCTTCAAATGTAGGTCGAAACATCAATGTATTGTAAACGTTTTTCTAATACACGCACGAACGCCTAGTACTGGCCGTTGGCTTGTTATTTAATCTTTTGATTTTGATTGATTGTTGGCTTTTGAATATAATTTCATTTTAATTTAATTTTTTTTTTCGTTGATAACTAAACAAAACTGTTAAATATAATGCAGAGAAATCTATAAATTAATTAATAACTAAAACAAAAATGTAAAATATAATGCAGAGAAATCTATAAATAAATAAATTAATTAATGAGTCTTCCTGCAAAAAATAAATATACAAAGAAATAATTTAGATTGGTCAAAAAATCTTCTTGTGTTTTTTAATAGATAGTTTATAGAAAACTTATTAAACAGATTTAATAAAAGCTTTTAATAAAAGATAATTGGACAAAACGGTCGATATATTAGTTAATAAAACTTTAGTTTTATACACAAAACTTGTCTTAAAATTATCTTTCAAAAATGAGAAAATTTTTTCAGCCATAACGAGAGAAAAGAATTCTCCATTTGTCAAGTCAAATTATGCGTTGTAGATTGAGGTGAAATTGAATAGAGATCATTGGTTGAGAGTTCCTTTTCTCCGTCATTCGGGCGCTGATATTGGACTTTCTATCGGACGATATAAAAATAGATGGGCGATCACGTGGTACAATCCATCGGACCGTTTCGTGTACGGAAGGGAACGTCTTTTTTTTCCACGCTGCGGTTAATCGTGAACGATCGCTCGTGATTCTGATAGATTGTCTCGATAAAGTATGTCGATCTTTCCCATGAAGCACGAAAGGTATTATGTCGGCGCGGCGTGTGTATTGCGCCTTGAAAATGTACAATTTCTCCGTTACGCTCGAAATAGCCCGCAATTCACTGCCATTCAAGGGAAGTCACATAATTTCCGATAGATATAATCGATCGAAACGCATGCAAATCTCAAGTACTTTCTCGGTAAAAAGAGGTCACGAGGTTGCGCGCTTGACAAGTTGCGCTCTGCTTTTTTCGACTTGAATTGTAATCCGTCGTAAAATTTACATCTTCGTAAGGTTCGATTCGTCTCATTGTGATCCTTTTTAGTATTACATAAGCTGTAACGCACGTCATTTCCCGCTATTGTTTTCCACTTTTGTTACGTAATTCGTTTCTCGTCATCCTGGTATTCGTTTTGTTTTACACGAACGAGGTTCGTTGATCTCAAGTGACTCCATTGTTATCTCAGAAAAATAGATAAAATTCATGTATATCTTCTATGTAGTGAAACTAATTTGAAGTGCACTTACCGACAGCAACCCATATCGAACTCGTTAAAAAGATGCAGCATAATAAGAAGATGCAGCTTGACGATGTCTTGCTTTGATTTGGCATGCTATTTTGTACTCTTTGGTATCGTCACCTGTAAATTAAAACAAAGGATTAATTAGTAACGAAAGTTTAATTAATATTAAATTGACATTATGCAAGTATTACATTATAATTAATTATAAAAAATAAATTATATGCAAAATATAAAGATAAAATAAGAAAAATATAAAATAAAGATGATTTTATTTTGTATATAGGTATATTTATTACACTGATTGTGAGAGAAAAGTATGTGATATTTGGAGCTATAATTGTATGGGACTATAATTATAATCAAAGTACTCATTTTTATAAAAATTGTTATTATAATGCTAGTAATAATAATCTTATATGTATAATACTGGCAATCGTATAACCATATAATTAGAATACCTATAAAAATATGGTTGGCGCAAAAAAAAAACACTAGATTATGATTATTGCAATTATTCTTTTCTCTCCGTGTAGTAATATGTTAAAAATAAATTTCAGAATTAAATACATTTGATTTTTATTTTCAATTGATAGTGCATTTTTTTTCAAATTTGCAATTTTACAATTTTTCCTTTTTATTAACATTTTAGTTTTTATTCATTACGACTAAGAATAGTAAATTATTGTTATCTGGTCTTGGACACCATCAATTGAAACACCATGCGTACGAATATTGAAGATTTTGCGTGCGATAATAAATTGAGCGTTTTAATTTTAGTTGAAACCTGAAGAGGACCTGATATAGATCGAAACGTTGTTATCATATGTTTCTATAATACACAGACACGACCATCTAGCACAGGCTGTTTTGCTTCTCGTTAATCTTTTGTGTTAAATTATTGGGCCTTGAATATATTCTTTAATTAAACAAATTAGAATTAAAAGGTGTCATTTTTAAATTAAAGCGCAAGGATATAATTTATAATTGCATAAAAGATGTTATTTCTATTACACTATAATTAAAAAATATTTCGTTTTTAAGAATAATATTAGGACCTTGAATAAGTTCTCGCTGTTTTTTTGTTAAAAAAAACATTAATTTAAAATATAAGGCTTACAATAACTTTACTCAAAGTATTGTCCATCATTAGAGACCACTTTCTCCCATCTTTCTGGCAGTAATTGAATCCCCCGTCGAAAAAAACGATTTATCTTTTGACGCAATCCATGAATCGACCCATTTTTCGGTTTCTTCGAAAGAATGGAAGCGCTGCTCGCTCAAACCATGCGCCATCGACCGAAACAAGTGGTAATCCGAGGGGGCTATGTCCGGTGAATACAGCGGGTGAGGTAGAACTTCCCATTGAAGCGTTTCCAGGTAAGTTTTGACTGGTTTTGCCACATGTGGCCGAGCATTGTCATGTAACAAAATGACTTTGTCGTGTCTCTGCCCGTATAGTGGCCGCTTTTCTTTTAGAGCTCGACTCAAACGCATCATCTGAAGTCGATAGCGAGCTCCCGTGATAGTTTCATTAGGTTTAA